TCCAAAGGACAATACTGTTTTGACTCAGATCCTTAGGAAAAGGAGCTGAGTTTTGGACTAGGGCTCCAGGAGATATGGATTCAAATTGCTACTCAGCCAAGGAAAACCACCAAGTGACCTTGGGCAAGTTCCACTGTCTTAAGCTGAATTTCAGAGGAGGGCAATGATAAACCTCCTAGGAGAGGGTCACCATGAGTGGGAGTTGGTACATAACAACCGAGAGTCAGTGTGGTGTTTTGGTTTGAATGTTAGACTAGGACTATATCTGCACTAAAGAAATAATGCAATTTGACACTGCTTTAACTGCCATGACGCAATGCTATGAAATCCTGAGATCTGTAGCTTGGTGGGGCACCAGAGTTCTCTAAACAGCTAAATATCCCACCAAACTACAAATCCCAAAATCCCATTGCATTAAGCCATGGCAGTCAAAGCTGTGTCAAACTGCATTAATTCTGCAGTGCAGATTAGCTCTCAGAACCTGGATAACCAGGAATCAAATCCTCACTCAGCCGTAAAACTCACTGGGTGGCTTTTGCCAACTCACTCTCTCTCAGCCTCTGGGGAATGCAAGGGCAAATCCCCTCTGATGAATTCTGATGAAGAAAATCCTGACTTGAAAGCATGCAGCAACAGAAACAATAATAGGCCTTATCTGCTCTGGAACTGTGGAAAGGTGACTTCTAAGGGAGCAGAAATGTAAGCACCCAGGTGTTTAGGAAGTAGCCACTAACTAGTGGGTAAAGCCAGGAGAAAATATCTCTACTTTTGCTCAGCATCTCTTGGGAGGCATCTTTGGAGAGAAGCTCACCTGTGGCTGCGCAGCTGGGAGTACCAAGGTTGCTGCTTCACAAAGAGGAAGGCAAAGACCTGGGCGGCGAGGGTGAAGCAGACATTGAGGATGACAGAGAGCAGCAGCGGTGGGGAGAGGAGGCGTCCCGGAGGTCGGTAGGGGGCCAATTTGGGATTGGCCTCCGTCAAACTCACTGTGGAAGAAAGAAAAGTGTCCCAGGAGAGCAGCCCATTGCACAGCATAAGGATTTTTGCTTTCCACAGCCAGCAGCACCTGGCCTGCACAGGAGATCCAGGAAAGGGAAGCTGGGAAGGGCAACCAGCCATGAGTTGGAGTTGACTCGAGGGTGGGTAACAACAACAACAACAGGTTTGAAATGGCAACATCCACTGTAAATCCACAGGGATATGTGGTGAGTAAGAGAGAAAATAGGATGAAGATCTGCTTACTTGTTAGGCAGACAACAAGGGAGATGCAGACATCTTGGATAAGGTACTGGTAATTCCCAAAGAGCTGTATTTGCTGCGGGGGGGGGGGGGGGGGGGGGGGGAGGAGAGAGAAAAATATATAATAAAATTGGTTCCATGAAGACTGTTTTTACAACTCTTAATGATTATTTCATTAACACAGACAGGAACGAGGTCACAGGAGTTTCCAAAAGCAATCAAATAAAGTTTCCTTTCCTGAAACACAACCAAGGTTTCCTTTCTTGAGACACATCCATCTGTTCTGCAGAAGCTGCTCCACTCCTTTCCATTCTGCTCCATTGATGAAATTATACTAGTTCAGTTTCAGTCCATGAGTACTGATAACGTGGACAAGCTTCTTGGTAAACAACCTGCCTTCTTGATCCTTGCCCTTCGTGGGTGGCCATCCAGGGGGG